TGCTGGGCTCCAGCGATCCTTCTGCCTCAGCCTTCCAAGTAGCTGGAACTACAGGCGTATGCTACCACACCCGGCTAATTTTTGATTTATTGTAGAGATGAGGTCTTGCCAAGTTGCCCAGGCGGGTCTCAAACCCGTGGGCTCAGGCAATCCACTCATCTCAGCCTCCCAAAGCACTGGGATTACAGGCTGAGCCACCGAGCCCGGCTAAAAGTCCTAGGTTTACAGGCGCTTCTGACCTGTCATAATCAGAATTACATGAGCATGATCATACTGTGCATTTAGCGTCAGCATGATCTATTTTCTTTAAGAATTCACCTCTCTTATACTGCTTTCTTTGCTAAAAGTAATATGCTGAATGCTTAGGAAAACAATATGTAGGATCTAGCATGGTACCTGGCAGACTAGGCTATTATAAATGCTAGTTGAATAAACTGATTAATGTTACAGCAAATTACTTACAAAAAAAAGATATTCATATTAACTGAATTTTTAGGATATGGTAAAAAAGTAGTTCACTCATAGCTGTTAAGTGAGACTGCCAAAAACTCAGACAAAAGATTTCAACAGTGCTTCAGAACTAAATCTCTGTGGGTCCAAGACATCCATTCATATCTGGTGCTCAGAAACATTATGATGTCTGAGCTGGCTAAATTCTTTTTTTTTTTTTTTTTTTTGAGTTGGAGTCTCACTCGGTTGCCCAGACTGGAGTGCAGTGGCCACTCCCAGCTACCGCAGCCTCAACCTGCGGGGCTCCAGCGATCCTTCCGCAGCCTTCCGAGTAGCCAGAATTACAGACATGCGCTACCACACCCGGCTGATTTTTTGATTTATTGTAGAGATGAGTCTCGCTGCCCAGGCGGGTCTCGAACCCGCAGACTCAGGCAATCCACTCACCTCAGCCTTCCAAAGGCGCGGGATTACAGGCTGAGCCACCGAGCCCGGCTAGTTAGCTAAATTCTAACCATGAGGAAGTATAGAAGGGAGCTCAAATTCAAGTTAAGACAAGGTGACAGCAATGTGCAAAATTCAAGCTGATTTTCTTCAAACTGGACACATTCCACCTTAAAGGAACTATATTTAGCCTCTCCCCAGTCCTCTCCCATGAGCTGTCTGGTTAGGGATCCTGCAAAATATCTAGAGCTAAGGCCATGACTGCTTCCAGCTTACTCTGCAAAAGAGTAAGTAAGCAGAGCAGGTCCCTGCTTATTCCACTGGCCTGACAAGAAAGAAGGTTGAAGTACCATATGGAAAACCATGGGCAGTTGGGAAAAGGAAGAAAACAGGCCATGTGACCGATGGCAATAACTTCTCTGAGTCTCAGCTTTGCTCTCTGTAAGAGGAAGACACTGACCTAGAATAATAGACTTTAGTCGACAGTGATCACCAATAAAGACTGCCTGCCATGTATTTCCCCAAAGAGTCCACTTCTTAAAAGATTTTGGAGGCCGGGCTTGGTGGCTCAGCCTGTAATCCAGCACCTTGGGAGGCCGAGGTGAGTGAATTGCCTGAGCCCGTGGGTTCCAGATCCGCCTGGGCAAATTGGCGAGACCTCATCTCTACAATAAATCAAAAAATTAGCTGGGTGTAGTGGCACACGCCTGTATTTCCAGCTACTTGGAAGGCTGAGGAGGAAGGATCGCCGGAGCCCAGTGGGTCGAGGCTGCGGTGGCCGGGAGCGGCTACTGCACTCCAGTCTGGGTGATGGAGTGAGACTCCAACTCAAAAAAAAAAAAAGTTTTTGGGCTAGAAGCAGTGGCTTAAGCCTTTAATCCCAGCACTTTGGGAGGCTGAGGTAGGGGACTGCCTGAGCCCAAGGGTTCGAGAACGGCCTGGGCAATTTGGTGAGACCTCATCTCTACAATAAAAATCTAAAAATTAGCTGGGAGTGGTAGCACACACCTGTAATTCTGGCTACTTGGGAGGCTGAGGCGGAAGGATCGCCGGAGCCCAGGAGGTCAAGTGGCTGTGAGTGTGCTACTGCACTCCAGCCTAGGTGACGGAGTAAGGCTCCAATTCAAAAAATAAATAAATAAGTTTTTGTCCAGCCAGGCACGGTGGCTCACACCTATAATCCCAGCACTTTGGGAGACTGAAGTGAGAGGACTGCATGATCCTTACTGCAGCCTCAATTTGCTGGGCTCAGGTGATTCTTCCACCTTAGCCTTCCAAGTAGTTGGAACCACAGAAGTGAGCCACCATGCCTGGCTAATTGTTTTTTTAATTTACTGTAGAGACGAGGTCTCACCAAGTTGCCCAGGCTGGTCTTGAACCTCTGGACTCAGGCAATTCTCTTGCTTCCACCTCCCAAAGTGCTGGGATTATAGGTGTGAGCCACTGTGTCCGGCCATATTATTATTAATAATGACTAGCAGGATGTAGTGGCTCATGCCTGTAATCCCAGCACTTTGGGAGGCTGAGGTGATAGGATTGCCTGAGCCCACAGGTTTGAGACCAGTCTGATCAGCTTGGTGAGACCTCATCTCTACAATAAAATTACGTCGGGGTCGGTGGCTCAGTCTGTAATCCCAGCACTTGGGAAGCCAAGGCAAGTGGATTGCTGGGTTCAAGACCAGCTCGGGCAACTTGGTGAGACCTTGTCATAAATTAGCCGGGTGTGGGAGCGCGCACCTATAGTTCTGGCTACTTGGAAGGCTGAGGGCAGAAGGACCGTTGGAGCCCAGTAGGTCGACGCTGGGGTAGCCGTGAATGTACCACTGCACTCCAGCCTGGGTGACAGTGAGACTCCAACTCAAAAAAACAAATAAAAATAATAATAGAAAAAACAAAACAAAGCAAAAAACAGTGATTCTCAGACTTTACTGTGGACCAGAATTACCTGGAGAGATTGTTAAAATTCAGATGGCTTGTCTCCAACCCCAGAGTTTCTAATTCTACTGAATAAGTTCGGAGTGGAGCCCCAGAGTTTGCATTTCTTTTTTTTTTTGAGTTGGAGTCTCACTCTGTTGCCCAGGATTGAGTGCAGTGGCTGGCTCATGGCCACCACAGCCTCCATCTGCTGGGCTCAGGCGATCAATCCTTCTTTCACATTCTTCCAAGTAGCTGGGACTACAGGCATGCATCACCACACCTGGCTCATTTTTCTTGATTTATTGTAGAGATGAGGTCTTGCATGTTGCCCAGGCTGGTCTTGAACCCCTGGACTCAGGCAATCTTCTTGCCTCTGTTTCCCAAAGTGCTGAGATTACAGGTGTGAGCCACCATACCCGGCTGAGTTTGCATTTCTAACATGTTGCCAGCAGTTGATGGTGGTGATGGCTGGTCTGGATACTGACTTTTAAGAATTGAATAACTGAAATAATTCATTGAAGAAATTTAACAATTCCTGTCAAAGTATATGATCTGAATGCAGTAACAAGCATTACAGTGAATTTCTATATTTTAAACAAAAGCAAAGAAATGTGATATAGTTTGACTATATAGTCTTATCATTAAAAAACATCCCTTTATTGAACTTTTTTTTTTTTGAGTTGGAGTCTCAGTCCATCGCCCAGACTGGAGTGCAGTGGCATGCTCTCAGCCACCGCAGCCTTGACCTGCTGGGTTCTGGTGATTCTTCCGCCTCAGCCTTCCCAGTAGCTGGAGCTACAGGCGTGCGCCATCACCCGGCTAGTTTTTTATTTATTGTAGAGATGAGGTCTCACCAAGTTGCCCAGGCGGGTCTGGAACCCACGGGCTCAGGCAATTCACTCACCTCAGCCTCCCAAAGCGCGGGATTACAGGCTGAGCCACCGAGCCCAGCTTGAACTTTTTTTTTTTTTTTTTTTGAGTTGGAGTCTCACTCCGTCGCTCAGACTGGAGTGCAATGGCCACTCCCAGCCACCGCAGCCTCGACCTGCTGGGCGCTCTGGCGATCCTTCCGCCTCAGCCTTCTGAGTAGCCAGAATTATAGGTGCGTGCTACCACGCCCGGCTGATTTTTGACTTTTTTTTTTTTTTTTTTTGAGTTGGAGTCTCACTCAGTTGCCCAGACTGGAGTGCAGTGGCCGCTCCCGGCCACCGCAGCCTCACCTGCTGGGCTCTGGAGATCTTTCCGCCTTAGCCTTCAGAGTAGCCGGAATTACAGGCATGCGCTACCACGATCAGCTGATTTTTTGATTTATTGTAGAGATGAGGTCTCGCTGCCCAGGCAGGTCTCGAACTCGCGGGCTCAGGCAATTTACTCACCTCAACCTCCCAAAGGCGTGGGATTATAGGCTGAGCCACCGACCCCGGCTTGAACTTTTTTAAATTGAAAAAAATCTCTCAATTCCAGTTATTGTGCTCCCAGACCCACAGGGGGTCACTAATCTTCTCACAAGCTCAACAGGGGCCTTTCTAACTCTACCATGGTGTGATAATGATTTAATCTGAACCTCACGTTATTCTCTTGATGCTTCAAAAACCAGTAATTGCTGTTCTGCAGCTGACCAGATGATGTCACTGTAGAACAAAACAATCCATTTCCTGAGGCGCATGTAAGCCTGCCTGTCAGTATTTTTGAGTCTCTGCACTATTACTACCCAGCTGTTCCTTCAAACATAAAATCAGTGTTTTCTACAGCAAAGAGTGAAATGAAATGTTAGTAATTTATCAGCAAATCTTCAAGACTTTTGCTCTCCAGATTGTTACTGAAAAAGATTTATAAATATCTGACTTACGATTTATAGAATAGACTATACGGGGGATTGGTAGCCAGCAGCTGAGTAATGACAGATATAATCACAATCACAAGAACTGGAAGTAGCTGAATAAATGCAGAATACGTAGTCTGAAAAAGAAAAAAGTAAGTGTTCTTCATCAATATAAAGCTTATTGAAAAGATCATTTGCCCAGAGAAAATACTAATTACCAACGTACCACACAGGAGGCCCACAAAGCCCAAGGCTTTTCCAGGAAGGCTGTACTTCCAGCTGAAAAGTACAGGTTGAGCATCCCTAATCTGAAAATCCAGGCTAGGCTCGGCAGCTCAGCCTGTAATCCTAGCACTTTGGGAGGCCGAGGAGTGTGGATTGCCTGAACCTGAGGGTTCGAGACCAGCGTGGGCAACTTGGCGAGACCTCATCTCTACAATAAATAAAAAACCAGCCAGGCGTGGTAGCACGCGCCTGTAGTTCCAGCTACTTGGACGGCTGAGGTGGAAGGATCGCCGGAGCCCAGCAGGTTGACGCTGGGGTGGCCATGAGAGTGCCACTGCATTCCAGCCTGAGTGACAGAGTGAGACCCCAAGTCAAAAAAAAAAAAAATCCGAAATCTGAAACTTTTTTTTTTTGAGTTGGAGTCTCACTCCGTCGCCCAGACTGGAGTGCAATGGCCACTCCCGGTCACCGCAGCCTCGACCTGCTGGGCCCCGGCGATCCTTCTGCCTCAGCCTTCC